GGCGTTCTTACACGATGTATGTACTCATGATGTCTTCTCTCCGGTGTGTTCGTCATCCTCATCTTGGCTTCATTGTTTGTGAACCGCTGCGGTAGCCAATCTATCCCATATCGGGGGCGGACATTGGAGTTCGTCGTGGAACGTATTGTGGCCAACCAACGTTGTCTGTCTGCTCGAGCTTCAGAGAGGATGGAAGCATTGACTGTTGACCTTGTAAAGGTGAATTGTCGGCTGGATGAAGAACATGGTTGTAGTTTTGTTTGCAACGTAATCGTTCTTCTTTGGATTGTTCCTTTATCCTGTTTCGCCGATAATGGCTTGTTGCCCGTTCGTGTGTTCGCACTGTTGCGATAAGGGTACGTTTTGGGTTTCTTCAATCTCTCGTTGTGTTGTGGAAATGTTGGGCGGTTGTTCCTGAGGGTTCCCTTCAGCGTTGATATGCAACCGAATGTGCCAACAAAACTTGATGTAGTGGTAGTGGGGCTCATCCCTGATATAACGTATCCAAAGATGGTTGGGGTCAGAATGAGGCCTGAAGGAAGCTTATGCACTCTGTCGTTGTGGAGAGTAACAAGGTTTAGGAGGTCTTGTCCTATGATCAGATCGGGTGAGACGCTTTTCGAGGAGAGCGTATCTTGAGCGATTGTCAGCTTCTTATTAGAGATGAAACGTAAGTCTGCTTCCGTGAGACTTGCCGTTTGCATGTCGGTAGTCAGCTTCTGCTTGGTGTGCAATGACAAGTTCTTGAGCTTTTCGGAGCTGTAGAGACTTTTCAAGTGATTTGTACTTCAGATGAGTTGAATCGTTCTTGTTGTTCGCCCATTCCAGATGTAGTAAACGAAGTAGTACGAAGAACTGGAAACTTGAATTCTTCACAAAGTCCTGATTTGATGAAACTTCGTTGTGCACCGGAGTCAAGTAGTATCGTTACTGGCTGGTAATCCCACTCTGCCTCGTTGAATATAGTTGCCGAAACTATTTGAAGAATGCATTGATCCTGTGCAAGTGGAAGTACTTCGGGATTGTAGACTTCTTGTCGTGAGCTTTGTACGACGTGCGTATTGCTCTTCTCATGACAATCCTGATTGATGTCACGTGATGACCAAGGAGCAGATGAGTGTTGATTAAGTGAAGGATCTCGGGATTGCGTCGAGAATCCTCTGCGTTTTCCTGCTTCTGACAAGCAAAGAGATCCATGGTGTGATCCTTTGCATTTTGGGCACACATCGAAATTCGTGCAAGCGTTTGAGTTGTGATCGCTTGCAAAACATCTCCAACACACTCCTTGATTTGTTGCTTCAAGCCGTCGGGCTTCTGGTGTGGTGTACCTCTGACAGGTGTGAGGAGAATGTGGTTGTCCACATAAACACAAACGTTTTAGTTTCGAAAAGTGTTCTCCTCGATCGCGTCTGGTAGTCCTTTCATTTTCTTGCTTGTTTGGGTGGTAGTTGGTTGGAAAGAGAGTTTCCGTTGTTAGCAAGATTGTCTCTTGCAGTGAAATGATGCTGTTTATGGTGTTCAGGATTTCGCTAACATCAAATGGATCATCTTGCACCGCTTCTTTCTGGATGGCGGTCGTACAGATGGATTCGGGAAATTTGGAAAAGATTATTCGACGCCAAAGTCTGTCTGCGTTCATCTTTGCTCCCGTTTGCTCCAGGTGAATGATCCTTGAGTTGATTGCTTCGAAAGTGTCTCGGCAACTTCTCGGATCATCTGAGGCCCTGGGTAGTTTTTCGATCTCATTTATAAGTATATCTGCCATGTTGGCAGAGCGATCGAAATGTTTCTTCAAGATATCTATCGCTGTCTGATATCTGTCTCCGATGACGGGTATGCAGCTCAAAGTGGCTGCTGCTTTCCCCTTTAGTGCTTGCTTCAGAAAGAGGAACTTGTCCGTATCCGATAGCTCCTCGTCAGTGTGAATAAGAGATTCGAAGACGGTCCAGAAGCTATTAAATTCTCGGAAATTGCCTGAGAACGTAGGGATTTCCAGCAGAGGTTTCCGAATTTTGATTTGCCTTTCATTACGTTCTGGAATCCAAGCTTGTCCATTATCACTACTTGGTTGACTCGGTATGCTCGGAGCCTCGCAGTGCAGTAGTGCGTCTTGTTCTTTCAGTTCATGCTGCCTGAACTCTATCCTTGTCCGCCACTGCACTACAATCACTTCCAGTTCAAGTGACTCCATCTCTAGGTGCTTGCTGAGCTCCATCATCAGTTTGTCTCTTTCTTTTTCCTCATTCCGTGCGCTAATGTACTCAATCGCGGAGTTGATTTGCGTCTCTTGAAGCTTCACTGCGTTGTGTAGAGAGTTGAGAAGATTGGTTATCAGTCCCGTTTTCTCTTTTATGTACTGTTTACATTCTTCTTTCAGTGTGGGAAATGTGAAGGGGACATCAATATTTTCGATTTGTGACTCGTGGGATTTCACGAGTTTGCAGGCGTTGTTAATCCTGATCTTGAAAAGCTGGAGCGATGCCATTTTCTTTTCTGCTGCACTGGGTAGAGTCGTGCGCTGGTGTGGTAATTCCAAGCGTTACAATTTGGAAGTGTGTATCCTCCTTGTGTTGATCGCTTTGGCTTGAGGGCGACAGCAGGGCTGGCCTCGATACGATAGCTGTCCTTACTGGTTGCAAGGAAGCTTTCTAGTGAGCTGGCAAGTGGGTGCCGAGCGTCTACTAGCTGTCAGCAAGCGCGCCTGGTTGGCTTGTACGCTGTACTGGACGGTAAGGTGTTGGAACCTGTCCCGTGAATGTAACGATCCAAAGCTCAAGATCGGTGAACCAATCGTGAATGAGCTTGGAAAGTTGAGATTTCTTTGCTAACTGTGGATGGACCAGTCAGTCAGCTAGAAAATCTCCTTGCTAAGCTATGGATATGACCTGATAGCTTCGCAAGATGAAACTCGTTTGTGAAAGTGGATGAACCAACAATCACAGGGTGTTTTGGCTAATGGAAGCCAAAAAAAGTTCGAGGATTTCTGTTGCTAACTGTGGATGGACCAGTCAGTCAGCTAGAAACCTCTTTGCTAAGCTATGGATGTGACCTGATAGCTTCGCAAGGTGAAACTCGTTTGTGAAAGTGGATGAACCAGCAATCACAGAGTGTTTTTGGCTACGGAAGCCAAAAAAGTTCGAGGATTTCTGTTGCTAACTGTGGATGAACCAGTCAGTCAGCTAGAAAAACCTCTTTGCTAGGCTATGGATATGACCTGATAGCTTCGCAAGATGACTCTTGTTGTGAAAGTGGATGGACCAGCAATCACAGAGTCTTTTTTGGCTAATGGAAGCCAAAAAGTCGAGGAGTTCTTTTACTAACTGTGGATGAACCAGTCAATTAGTTAGAAAACCTCTGCTAAGCTATGGATAGGACCTGATAGCTTAGCAAGACTCGTATTAGTAAAAGTGGATGAACCAGCAATTACTAGAGTCGAATATTGGCTAATTAGTAGCCTAGAGTGCGAGGAGTCTGTCGCTAACTGTGGATGAACCAGTCAGTCAGCTAGAAACCTCTACTAAGCTGTGGATAGGACCTGACAGCTTAGTAAGACTCTTGGTCGCGAAAGTGGATGAACCAGCAATCACGAGAGTCGAATAGTTGGCAATAGAGCCTGCCACGCGGGTCTTAGGCCTTGATTTCCTGGGTCCTTAGAAGGAATCGCCGAGGAAATACAAGGAAAATCACTGGCCGATGCACCAATTTGGTGGGTACCAAGTGATTAGGGGGTAGACGAGTTGTGGAATAAGGTTTATTCGCACGGACGTAGATTATTCGAGAGAAGAGGAGTGAGGTGTCCCGGTGTGGACCGGGGAGCAACCTCTAGTACCTTCGGAGGCTCCTTATATAGGAAGGAAGGCGGAGCTGAACCGAGTAAAAGGTACAATGTACACGAGTTGGTGCTTGAAAGGAGGTGCCGCCGATTGGCTACACTCCTGGCGCACGGGTACCACTCACTCTTGAGTGATTAGATACTCAAGAGTGAGTAGCTCACAATTTAGCCTACGGGTATTCCGTAGGCTATCTAAAATATAGAGTTCATCAATGGTTGATGTTACAGAAATCATCAACAATTGGTGTGTAGATGGGCCATGGGAAAGTGGAACTATGTGTAAAAAATTATGAAAAATCTATGTGAACTAAAGTCGTGGCAAACTTTTTTAGGAGTTAGGTGGCTTTACAGCCACCTCGACAGCCACCTTAGGTGGCTGTAAAAAGAAAAAGTCGTAAATTTCACTCCCTTCACATAATTTTTCAAAATTTTTACACAGTTTTGTTCTAAATCCAGATACCCACAAACCAGTTTTTAAAGCTCCTCAAACGCCCTACTCCCCGCCTAGTTACAGTCCTCGAAAAGTTTCGTGTAGCGGCGGCAGTGTTGCTCCAGGCGCGCGATGGTGCGCGATGGACAAAGTATGCCGCCAATTCGATGAATACGAAAATTATTACTTGTTCTCACCGTCAATTTCGTGTTCTTTCGTTTCCCACTTGTAGTCTTCTTTGCTCCTTTTGTTTGTTTTGATCCTTAGTGGTCATAGGGGATGTCGTATGTTAGCTGCGAAGTCAGTGGGGACTTCGTTTTCGGAAGAATGAAAAAGCCACCTTGTGCTGAGCCCTGATCTGGACTCCTTATAAAAATAATAATTACAATACTAGGAGTCCTCGTCTGAGCCATTACCCAAGGGATCATAAGTTACGTTGAAGCCGAGAAAGTTGGCTTTAAAAAAAGCCAATAAAGCAGAAAGCTTCCAAAATTGCGCAAGTGTTCTGTTTTTGATCAAACTGTGATAATTTTCGAAATTTCAATATTCGAACTGGACTTGTGGTATTTTCCGCTGTTTCTAAAATTTCAGGGTTATAGGCTTGCTAAGATTTTGCAAAGCATAAATTTTTTCGGAAGTTCTCTCCCTCTCACTCTCCCCACGAACGAGTAAAATTGGGACCGCCACTAATGGGTACCCAGATTTACCTATTAAGATCAACCTTTATCTCTTTCAAGAGTTGGAGACCACTGCTTTGGCTGCAGGCACAACATGACATGCGTTTTGGAGGCAGAGTATAAAAGGTATGAAAGCCTGCTTTTTTGCGATAGTCACAAAATTGCTAAGTTCTAGAGCAGCAGAGTTTGCATTCGCTGACAAACACGGTCTAGTCAAGCAACCGCTAAGCAAAGAAGACGTCCATGTCTTCCCTCAAAACTGGTAAGAAGTTTCTACGCAGGTAACCGCACCTTAACTTCATAAAAATTTTCAGGCGATGCAGCATGGAGACACATTACGACAAATATGAATTCATCAGATACTCGAATGACCCTTCTGGTACCCTTCTACAAGATTTACTTCCGTTGTTGAGGAAGCAAGGCGTTAGTTTTAGCAGATTCTTTGCTTTCGCCGTTGCAATGACTTGTTTGAAAATTCTTGAAGAATTTTATAGTTTTTTGATGATACCTTCTTATTCTAGGTATCAGAAAGTACGATAGACTACATCGCTGAATCTCTCCGCTCTGGAAGAACTGCACATACCACGGTAAAATCGGCAGCCAGGATCTACCTTGAAGACCGAATGCGAAACAGCCCCTACCTAATGGAATTGATGGTGCGACTGTTCTATCAGGATTACAAGCTCTTCAATTATAAGCTGCCAAATCTGGATGAGCTCAAAGGACACTAATGATAACTTATTTTAGAATTTGCAGTTATTTTAAAAATTTCGCTAGTAAAATAAAGGGTTTAATGATATGTTTGGTCTTAACGCAATAAACAATGGAAGGTGCGCGCTTTGAGAAAACGTATGGCGGATCCCAAAGCGCGGAAAAGACACTAGTTTACATTTGAAAAGTTCATGTATAACTAAAGAATTTACCTCTGCACATAATGTGCTAAAGAACCCAGAAACAACCTAATAAATGGCAATTTGGATTTTTATTATTTGTCGTACATATATCAATCCATTCAAGAACTGAGCCATGTCACGCTCTCGGAAATTTCCTCATCTGGCGTAAAAATCAACCTCATCAAGGTCGCTCCTGTGGCGCATCGATATTTAGCCGGTGAGAACAAATTATCAAACTTGAGGCCAATATCATTCGGCCGCACTCTAAATCGTCCATTTCCAGATTTAGCTTTGCCAAGATAATCCCTTCAACCTGCTGCTCTCTTGATTTCATTTATCCCGTGCTCCAAATAATCTTATAAGATATTCAATCTTTTTTCTGGAATGTAAATGCCAATAAAGGGCAGGTTTAATACCAAGTCTAACTGTGTGGATATCTGAGATTCGTCATACATCCATATAATGTGAGTAAAATTATTCGTCAGCCTAAACACATCATTTTTTTTTCAAAAAAGTTAACTAAAGACTCTGATTGCACTTTACGGGCTCAGATATCCACAGCATTCGACTCGGTATTGAACTTGTCCTTTCTTGGCATTTACATTCCCGATCGACGTGGATCTCTTGTTACTAATAGCAAACATAAATGTCAAGCAGAAAGCTGAAAACTCTTCCTAGGAATTGCTCAGGGGAACATGTAAGTCTAAAAAGTTTATAATTGAGAAGGACCAAAAAGTCAAAATTCTTTGGTGATGTGTGCCATAAAGAAAATCATTTCATTAGCAAGCTGATCATATTTGTGCGACTTCAGGTCCCTTCGTACTCATTTCACCCATTCAAAATCCAATTCTTCATCATATTTAGACTTTGCTCTACCACAGACAGGTGAAAGGAAGTCTCCATTAAAATGTGAATTAGGTGGCGGAAATACAATTTCTGTTGATTTGATACCACTACAGCTGGATTAGAAATTGTAATCACAGATCATACTTCAGTGTTTGTCTAATTTGAAAACATCGGCAAAATTGCGAGTTCATTGAACTGCTCAAACGTACTTTGTAACCAAAAATGTGAAGGTTTGAGATGTTGCCATTAATCTAATTGAAAAAAGGGTCTTGTAATGCTCTTTATAATTTTCTGTACAAACTTGAGTTAGATTTTGGTTTGTGTTGGGTTTGAACATCCGAATTTTTGATATACAGACAAGAGGAATTGAGCACAAATTTGAAGGGATTTAGACCCCCCTTTGAAACATATTTGGCGCTTCATCCTTATATGGATCGATGAGTTTATACGATGAGGCAGTACCTACAATTCCTCTGGTGTTTTGTTTCTACTTGAGATATCCTCACTCAGAAATTGCCTTTAAAGTCCTGGGCATTGCTTCAAAGAGCCATGACCTCCAAATTAAATACTGCTCTAAAGTCATTTTCTTGTTTTTCTCGCAGAAAGAAATCCGGCTTTCCAGAGAACTCCGAGAGTTCTGCTCTGTGTAGACCCTGCAAAAAATGACTACTTGATACAGCTTTTGAGCTAAAGCGGGAGAAATACTGCACTATATACTTCGAAAGAAATGAAGAATGACTTCTCAATTTCTGGAAAGAAGATGGAGCAGACCATCACAGCTGGCAAACCCATCATATGATCTTAATAAGCTTTTCCTGGATAATTTATTAGTGCTGACTTCCTCACTCATGATGAGAACTATTCGCCTGGACGCCCAGTGGCGCATTTTGGAGAGTAATCGGATTGATAATCAGATTTAATCAGATTGTTAGAGCTATAAATCTAGAGCATGGAATTAGGGTGAAGTAGAACAATATGATCTACCAACTGGTTGCTCGCTTTTGTTGATAAATGTAATTTGTGCACATCTTTCGATCTACCCAGGCTTCAAGATTTGATTAAAGTTGAAGCATGTGAGGCATGAATGACTGAAAACTGTAGAATAAAGAAATTCACAGATCCCATTAGAAAGGTTTTGTTTTTTGGATAATATAGTTCATTTATCAAATTTCTTTGCATTTGTTTCCGGCTTCATTAGCGCCAGTTTTGAGCTTTGCATAATTTGAGCATTTGTAAGGTTGTTACATAGGTTTTGTTACACTCGACTGAAAAAAATCCTCAAAACTTTGTCAACTTATTTTTCCTTAACTCAAAATTATGTGTAGTGTTGCAGATTTTCATATGAAAAACATGTCAAGTATGTCGTCACATATAACAAATGAAATTTTCAATTTTTTGATTTTCTCCGAATCATTTTTGGCAAATTTCCAATATTGTTTATTGATGAGCTCAAAATTCCAAACTGCCTTGGTATTACTAGTAATGCTCCCAGAAGTCCCCAAAAAATCTAAAAAGATGGAAGAAAAGAATAAGAGAATTTTCAGAAGAAAATGGAAATGGAGGTTGGAATTCCCTTATGGAGTTGCTTTTATATTTATTTATGTCGTGAGGGCATAGATGGTGACAGTGGCTTCATTCCTTGCTCATATGTGCCAAATATGAGACTTTGCTAAAGTTTCTAGAGTTTTCCGGAGACGATGAAGGTGTAACAAAACTTATGTGAAAACTCAATAAAAAGGTCCAAAGGATGTTTCAAGCGAGCTTCAGTAGTCGTCTCTCCAGGAAGTGGTAGTTCGTAGGCCCCAAGACTTTTGCCATCGCTATGAGTCCATCTTCTAGATTCAATGTCCATCTGCGCTCTGCTTTCTATCCGTGTAAACTCGTCCAATATTAAAGTAGTTTGTAAGTATTGGTTCACAGTTTTCGACCATAGGTTTGGTTTAGAATTTATTTGTCTCATACCTTGCTTTGAGAGCGGAGAAGCAAGAAGAATAGACGTCTAGACTAGCTTTTTTTCTAGAAAATTTTACAAAATTTTCGCTCCGCCTTTTCCGCTCATCAAAATTTCCTTCATCTGTAATACATATACTTGATCCTACCATGTCTATTTCCATTATTTTTCATTCATTCTCGAAGTACACGGATACCGATTTTAGTAAGACGACACAACTACAAAGAAAAATTCTTTCAGGATTTTTACAGGATTTCAGGATGTTTAAATCCCTTGATGGCTCTCTGATTTTTTATCCTTAGATATTTGCCTCTCAAATGGATGCAAATTTTTTGCGCTTCGTAATTGCTTATAATACTTTCCAAGAATCAGATTTCTCGGCGCGGCCTTACCAAGAATTTCATAATCTTTTGCTAGATCAACCAGAACAAATTAGGAATGGAGACTTGCTTAATTCTCAATTAGCACTATGAATGTACACATGTCCTTAGCAAATGTTAACTCAAACTTTCGAAAGTTACAATCTTATAGAAATGCTTAGGGGTTTATAGCATTTATTAGTGTGGGCACGAAACTTTTTTTGTTAAACACTGACGCCAAGCACCTTTTTTCAAATAATATCTGAAAACTCTGGGATGCTCTCAATTTTTGCGGGTCCGTAACCCCAAAAAGGTTTCTTACAAGCTTATGCGAATTTTTAAAACACTTTAAAATTTTTTTTGACCATTTACAAGTATAAACAAGTCACTTGCATATTATATAACCCATTAATTAACTTTCAAAATCGAACGTAAAAATCACGACGACCTTGGTCAACTCGGAAATTGCCCTTTGCCCACATTTGCGGGACTTAGGGCTTATTGCTTCCTTTGAACATTCGCTCTCCAAAGGGAGGAAGGGGTAGGATTAAGGAGGTGGCAGGGAAGGGGAGTGAAGAGAACTCGGAGGAAGGAGGCGGAGAGTGGGTGAGTGCTCTACAACTGCATTTGTGCGTATAGATCCTGCACTTATTTTTCATGCTTACGGTGGAAAATTAATTGAATGATCCTCATAAACCCATTTATTTTTCGACTAGTCCTGGTTCCTTTTTTTACATATGTTCATATTTATGGCTTACACTTTATATGCATAAAAAAAAAGAAAAACTAGTCCATTACATGCCACATCCAACTTGTCACCCTGCAGAAGTAAAATAGCAATGAATAAAAGTGTTTTGAACCTTGGAAGGCTTTGTTCAACTGAATTAATTCCTTGAGAGCTTGAACGCAGCAGTCAAATTCGGTACATGCCTCGTCATTGAAGTCGTCCGCACTTTTGGTCGTACTGGTCGTAATTTTTGTTTCGTTTTTGAAAGCATCGACGCTAATAATCAAAATTCACTATACTAGATTGGATGCCAATGGTTCCAGCTAGGAGAGAATTAATATATAAAGAAACGTAAGCGCAATTCAAAAATCTGCAAATAGCGTGGCGGTCCCGAAGCGCGCAGGCGGTCTGGCACCTTTAATTACTGGTTCACTAGTACTCACAAAGAAAGAATGAATGAGCGAGCATATCCTATCTAGGATTACTTATTGCTTCAAGCCCTGTGATAATTCCCATTGCTCTATACATATAAGCGCTAGGAAATAGTTACAACTATTGCTCAGTTTCTTCTTTACCACAACAAATTTTTATAGCAACATTTTATTGGGCTGCCTAACGTCGGAAAGAAAGGAGAACTTTTGAATTATGTTACAACTATTTTTATCCTGCTGCACATCCAATTTTTTGCTTCAATAAACGCTCATAACTCCTCGTCCAGAAATGCAACGCAGATAAGAAAGACTATTCGAAAGAAGAGGCAATAAGCTACAAAATGATATATATTATTTCTATGCCTTTATAGCTTGTCATAAAATTCCGAATAAAATTGTCAACGATTTAGGACACATGATACTAGTGCGCCACTGACTCATGGCTGGTGGGTGCAGTCGATGTCTCCATTTTTAGTAGAAGCCTATTTTGGAAACTCTTGCATTCTTTAGTCTTCAGCGTCTTAA